GTGCGTGAAGCTCTTCTTCTCAGCAGTCATTCTCAGTGCTGCGTCGGCGCAAAAGGAGAAGGAAGAAGGGAGGAGAGAGGCGCGCGTTATAGTCGACGCACACGGACACACAAACAACAAAACGACGCGGCGTGGGGAAGTCTACCACAACCGCACGGCTTGCCCGCAGCAACAGCGCCGGCAACACGGAGGAAGTTCCTCTCCCCCTCGAAAAAAGGAGTAAATTTTTTTTTTAATTTTAAAAAAAAGGCAAAAATAATACCAACTCAGAAAAGTTGTCGCAAGCCTTGTCCCCTTCCAGTTCCTGTCGGCACGAGTGGCGCCCCCGTCTTCTCCCACGGCTGCAAAACAAACATGATGCTTAACGGTAGGACTTCGTGAAGCGGGAACGGGCAGAGTGGCGGCCCCACTTCTTTGGCTCGCAGCGACGCGGGTCGGCAATGAGGAGGTACTTGTCGTACGCCAGGTACTTGTCCTTCAGCGCCGCCTTCTCCACCTCATTCTTGTACTTCTGGTAGTACGCGACGATGCCCTTCGCGATGGCCTGGCGGGTGGCATAGGCCTGGGCAACCTGGCCGGCACCGCGGACCGTCACGTCGATGCGCAGGCGGGCAAAGTGGCGGGACCCGACCACGTTGACGGCCTCCATAATCTTCGCGCGGAGCGTCTCGGGGAGAATCTGGGAAACGGGAACGCCGTTCACGCGGATGTTGCACTGCGCAGACTTCGTCACCGTGGCGACGGCGATGGCCGTCTTCTTCTTGCCGAAGGTCTGCACCTGCTTGTGCGTGAAGCTCTTCTTCTCAGCAGTCATTCTCAGTGCTGCGTCGGCGCAAAAGGAGAAGGAAGAAGGGAGGAGAGAGGCGCGCGTTATAGTCGACGCACACGGACACACAAACAACAAAACGACGCGGCGTGGGGAAGTCTACCACAACCGCACGGCTTGCCCGCAGCAACAGCGCCGGCAACACGGAGGAAGTTCCTCTCCCCCTCGAAAAAAGGAGTTAAATTTTTTTAATTTTAAAAAAAAGGCAAAAATAATACCAACTCAGAAAAGTTGTCGCAAGCCTTGTCCCCTTCCAGTTCCTGTCGGCACGAGTG